AATACCTTAACGTTCTGATGTAGAAAAGAATATTTATCTCAATAAAAACTTATTTCGGTAATTGGAAAATCAGTCGTATATTCTTCAAGATTTTGTAGGCAATTTTCCACACAAACACACACACACATATGTATATATATATATATATATATATATATATATATATATATATATATTATGTATTATGTATACATAGTATACATAGTAGAATGTAAGATTTTAATACTCTCAAGTGAACTGGGTCACTATTTCCATATAAAATTCTACCACTCCAAAAATCAATGTTTTTCTCGGCAATTACTTAACATTTATTTCTACAGAGTATGATATGATCTATCCCATCAGGGATTAAACTTTATGATATATATGTTACATTTTTTATCTACTAGACTAGTAGTTGTCAATGTTTCACCAAACTACCAAACGATGTTGTTTAATATAAGTTAATTAGTTAATTAAAACTAATTAAAAGGCGATACAAAGAAACGCAGTTAATGAATGAAAGAAATTTAAAGATGCACAAAGCGATGTTAAAGTAAGTAAATAAGTGTTAAGGTAAGTAAGTAAGCTTGAACTTATCTCGTCTCTTTTGCGAGACGTTCACGAAACGCGTTATAATCTTTAATCTTTTATGTTGCATCTTAACAGTTTTTTTTTTTTTATTTTTTTGTTAATCGTTTAACCAACAGTTAAGACCGTTTTAACATTATTAGATTATTATATCAAGATGTTACCATTAAACCAGTTTGATTCATACTAATTTTTAAGTCAATCAAGTTTGAAGCACGATATAATATCATACCGAACAGCTGGTTATTAGAAACGAAGCAGAGAGACAGCGAGAATGTTTTTCATTTTAAAAACATTTCATTTCATACCTTTCCTAAGAATATACAGAAAAGTAAAAATTTACTCTCACACCAATCAAGACGGGTCTCATAAGCATGTACAGCGAAGAAGTTTTACGCTCAGAAAAGCCAAAACATCTTTCTTAAGAATATTCAGCAAAGATAACAGCAAAGGAAATTTAAAGAATTTGAAAAAAGAAAACAAAACACCTCCATACATATATAGCATTTATTTAAAGTATTAAGAATATTTTTAAAAAATTTTTAAAATTATAAAAATATTTATATATATACATATAAATATATGATTTTGTATTTTATTAATTTTTTATTAATTCATCATTAAAGTTAACCATAATATATCAATTTCAATCTTAAGTTGAAAATTTTCAAATTTTTGATCTTAAAATGAAAATGTAATTTTTTATTTCAATTATATAAAAGATTTTTATCAATATTTAAACATTCCACACACTTCACACATATGAAAAGGATTAAGGTGTTTGCGGATATTATCGGCTATAACTTTCCATAGATTAACAATCCCCATGCTCCCTCCCGCTAAGGCTATAAAAGCGTTTAAAATAGCTATGGATTCTCCATGAGCTTATTGTCTCTCCAATATTTCTTCAATTAATAATGTTTTATAAATTTCAAAATCCAAAATGCTCTTGTTAAAGGGCTAAGATATTTTATGGATTTTATGGAGCCTATCTAGCTCACTAGTTTTGAAAAAAAAAAACGCTTACTTTCTTATTATAATGCATTTTATTTGCCGAAGAGAGATCGAATAGATAAAGAATTAAATACTATAGATATAAAAATGAAATGACATGAATTTAAAAAAAATTAATGAAAATATCCATATTTATTATTTATTAATAATTAATAATTATAAATAGTAAGAAAATAATTTTTTTTTATTTTTTATTTAAATCAAAATATCTCGCTAATAGCTGTTCCTCACAGTAGAGTACAACATTTAATTATAAATATTTATTATATCCTTTTAAATGTGACGAGTAAGCATAGGAAGCAGACCAGATACAATTGGCTGATTCATATATATCATATATATACATATATACATATGAATATATATATGTATATGAGGCTTCCTTCTGAGAGTTGCAAACATTTTGACAAAATAAACATAGGCCCCATCTTTAGCTAATGAAGCTAACATGTACATGTTCGCGCTCCTACAGTCTCTCTCAACAGTCTCAGTCGAGTCTCATGTTCATCATGTTCATTCATTTTGCACACGTTGTCTCCACGAGTTGCGACTTACTTTTCTGAGAGTAAAATTGACTTTGCTGCGTAGTGTTATGAATGCCCTTTTTGACTTTGCTGAGAGTAAAATTGACTACTTTTTGAGATTAAAATTCATGTTCGAGTTCGTGAGCTGCATACATTTACAACATATATGTTCGAGTTCGTGAGTAGACGTTCAAAAATAACTTGTTCAACTTTCTGCTATGAAAATTCATACATAATCTCTCTATTCATCTTATTTTTTTTATTTTTAACTTTCGAATCGAACGGTAAAGAGGTGTGTGATTTTTTCTCGCGAAACTTTGTGCGAAAGAATGTGCGTAAATATAAATAATATTAATTAATTTTAATATTAAAAAAAAAAAAAAAACAAAGAAAAAATTTTAAACGTTAAAAATGGTAAACATGTCGCGCGAGCTAATTCGAGATATATGTGATAAATAGATTAAAGAGAAGGAAATTTTTTTTTGTTTTGTTTTATTTTCAATATACAAAAAAAAAAAAAAAAACCGGGAATATATTAAAAATCATAAACAAAAGAAAGGTAAAAAAAAAAAAAAAAAATAAAAAAATAATAATTGATATAAACAAATTAAAGTTACCGGGAAATATGTGTAGAAATCATGACCGTTTGCAAAAAATTTAGAGAAGGTAAACGTGATAAACACAATTTTTGGTAAAAAAAAAAAGCGAAAAAAGAAAAATTTCATGCATATGCCGCTAAATAATATAGTCAGGTATTACAGTAATAAATGTATTCTTCGTACAGACTCCATAAGGTTTGTATACTATATGCCGACTTTAGAAGTGATCTTAAGTCCTATCTTCCGAGTAATTGAGTTGAGTTTCTTAAAATTCACTTTTAATCGTTATCTTTAAATTTAAAATATTTCCTGTCAAAATCTATCGAGATTTGGCGAAAAGAAAAACTTCTTCTTAAGTTCATGAATAGACAAGACGGGCCCCTTGGACATAAGTTTACTACATATATATAGATATAGATTTAAATGCTAAAAGATTTGTAGGCGGCTATATGACACGTATTATTATGATTATGAATAACGATAACGAAAAATTATCCACAATATGTTACCATATATAAACTAAAAAAAGAAAATTTTATAAACAAAGTATTGCCATAAATAAGATGATCTATAGTAATGGATTAAAAACAAAGGCATATGTATATATATATATATATATATATATGTGCATGTCTTATAGCTTGAAAAAAGGTCAGTGAAGGAAAAAAAAATTTTTATTTTTTTTTAATTAATTAATTTTTTTTTTTTTTTTGAATATTTTCTTTGGGATTAAACATGTGTATATTTATATAAAGTTCATTTTGGGTGAATAAAAGTTATCAAATGTGTATTTAATAGAAACATACGACAATGGAGAATACGCATGTTCATCATTACCGCATTGTAGTGTAAATGCATCGAAAAAAAGGAGAAAACTTAAATATACATAAACCGGTGCCCTTTCCGTTCCTAAAGATGAGCACTGATATATATATATATATATATATATATGAATGTTGGGGACTACCTGTTGTGTGATGTTAAAGTAAAGCAGCGAAGGTTAATTGTTAATTGTTAGCTTTTTACTTGCAGTCAGCCAGCCAACCAGCCACTCAGTTACGTCTGTCCGAAATTGAAGTGTTTGCATTTTGTTAACAGAGAAAAATAAAAAAAAAAAAAAAAATATATATATATATATATATATATATATATATAAATAAAAACAAAAATATATAGTGTTTTTGTTGCTCTTACCGAGTATATAAAAACAGTAATGAAAATAAACTAACAAAAAACTTGCAAGGAATCATAGGACCGACCGGTATCTGTTAACGCATCTTCTGTTATTAGTGTTGCTATTGTTGTTGTTATTGTTGATTTTGCTTTTATTTTGGTGTAAATGCAAAATACGTACTACTATGAAATGCTTTAAGCGTGTATGTCAATGCCGTGTATGATCAGCAACTAACACGACTACGAGGAATTTTACACGACCGTGATAACTTAAAGATACACCTTAACAGAAAAAGTAAAAAAAATATATAAAAATAAAAAAAACAACAACATCAAAAAAAAAAAAAGAAACTAAATAACAGCAAGGAAAACAGTACAAGTATCTAAAAGTGTAGTTTGTAATTGTTGATATTGTTGTTGTTGTTATTGTTGTTGTTGTCGTTATTGTTGTTATTATTGTTGCTGTTGCTGTTGCTGTTGCACGTTAGCTGTTGTTCATTTATGATTATAACGTAAGCACGTTTTCACAGTCCGCACGAGCAATGTAAGAAGAGAGCGAGATATTCTTACGTACTCAACCTAACAACACACATTAACAACAATACAAACACACAAAAATTAAAAAAAAAAAAAAAAAATATGTAAGAAAAAACAGCAAAAAAAAAAGATAAATAAATAAAAATTACTGCGTCTCTGCCGCGTTATGTGTTATTTTTGCTGTAGTCTTGCTCGCCAACAAACAACGTGACCAGTGACCGGTTTTTTGTGCTTATTCTACTTTGTATATAATATACAAATATACATACATATATACATAAGTACACACACGCACACATATATACTTGAACGCGTTGTTAAGATAACAAAATGTGTACGACTGTTCTGCTCTACTCTTGAGGCTTAAAAAAAATTAAAAAAAAAAATTTTTGTTTTTTTTGTTTTTTTTTTATTTAACATATAAATAAATAAATAAAAAGTATCTAAAGTCATTTAGAAGAAAATAAAGAAAATCTCAAGTGAATATAATATAGAAGGAAAAGCAGCAAAAAATTAAAAATAAATATATTAAGAAAACAAAAAAAAAATATATATATATATATATAGAATGCAGAGCCTATTAAATATTGTGTAAAATTTTTCATATTATTTTGGAAAATATTTATTATTACAAAAAGAGAAAAAAGAAAAAATGATGGCTTTTTTCAATGCTCTTATGGTTAAAACAACAACCATTTGTGCTTTCCTGGTGTTTTGCCACATAATTGTGACGAGAGCCTTCAATTTAGAGAATCGCCTGCCTATAGTAAAATTCAATGCAAATCCGAAATCGTATTTTGGTTATTCCGTTGCCACACATACAGTGGGTGAATTGGCCAATTCGCTTAACAATACAAAATGGTAAGTGCATATAATCACACACATACAATCAACAAAATCATTTCATATTAATTGAATTCTGCGAATTGCTTACTAATTACTATTAACTGTTGCCAAAATGACTAATCATCGTCATCCTATGTATATTGTTCTTCTTACATTATTTACGTTAACTTTATAATTTATTTTGCCATTAAATCTTACCGAGAATACCTGTTTATAATGCATAAATGAATGGTTAACGTCAAATAATCAAGAAATAAAAAATTAAAAGAAAAAAAAAAAAATAAACACAAAGCAAAGAAAAAACGACAAAAAGAAACACAGAGAATATTAGTTATAATAACAATTTATGGCGGTAATGGTATTAACATTAAATATTATATTTATATATGTATATGTATATATATATATATATATATGTACGCATTTCCGAGCATAGGTTAACTTTTATTTTATTTTCTTTTATTATTTTTATTTTTTATACTTTTTGTATAATAAAAAACTTCAATTAAATTAAATAAATTTTGTAACAATGCAAACATTTGTGTTCACCTTCAAATATATTTAGAATATGTTCATCTTATCGAGTCTTTTCATCCTTCAACTAATCAAAGCACTCCATTTCATTGGAGAGTAATGTGTGTGTTTTTGTAAGTTGCGGTCAGCTTCGATGCTTTAGACATTAATCGACTGGCGTCATAAGTTAACTTTTCATTAACTTTTGCCAAAATCTTGTTCGCTTTCCATGACAATAAAGCAAAAAAAAAAAGAAAAAAAATCGAAATACAATAAAGAGAAAGGAACATTTCGGTTGGAAGTCGTTAGTCTTACAATTAAATCGCAAATTCCTTTAAACTTGCGAAATATGCGATTTATTGTTTACATGATTGCCTCGCAAAACCCCTCCTCAAAACGGTCACTATGATTGGGTTCACATTTGAACTTGCCGGCTTAGAAGAGACTTGAAACTAAACGATTATTACATCAGATTTTCTTTGGTATATTTAACTAGCGGTTTAAGGGATCTTTCCTACTATAGGCAAAGACAGAGGGAAAAACTGTGCTGTGCATTTTGAAATGGCTGGAACCTATTGCGTACCGATAAATTGTATCAAAGTTAGTGAAAAAAACCGAACTGTCCTCTTAACACGCGCGCGAACGTGAGTGCTATAGCGTTGATTATCATTAGGATGCAAAATGTCATGAATGCTATGACATACAAATTGACTTAATTTTACATAATCCTTAAATATGTTGAATGATTGTGTTCGCCCAAATATTGATTACTTGATTCTTTAGGTTTTTCCATATTATTTTGTTTTTCGTCTTTCGTCCCGTTTTCTCATGTTTTCGCTTATACGAATGTTATAGCATTCACGTCATCACAGTTGAGAAATTTGATCTACATTGTCACCGCATGCTATAGCGGTGTACTTAGAGAACGTATTCAGTCATATTTCCGATATCGTAACAAATTTTTAAATAAATTGTATTTATCAATTTTTTGCATCTCACTTAAATTTTTATTGTCCGCGAAAGGTCGATCGATTTACTTTCACTCTGCAGATACCTATGCATGAGCATAGCACACCACACGTTATGGCTACGCTCAATAGATGAGGTCGTATTGAAGACATCCCCATCACCTCATAAACATGTTCGTCCTTCGCTCTGTGCGTTCAAGCGCAACTGGAAACCCTTATCCTTAGTTACGAAAAAAATGAATTTCGTCTTTCAATCGCACATTTGCATAAGCGGGCGTATTAGTAAAGAAATATTTGCAGCATTTGATCGAAAGGATCTAGCATCTAGCCTTCCATAAAACATTTATTAAAAATGTCTCTCAGGTCATTAACAGGGGAATGAAAACAAGAGAAAACAAAACAAAAGATTTTCTTTATCAGTGAAACTTTGGCAGCTTGAAGCTCAGTGCTGTCAAGTGTGGCATAAACTTGAAGTTTGATTGTTTAGTTTACACTTGTAGATCACGTATGCATCCCTCGGTCTTTCTATGCTGTGAAGGACACGGATAATCGCACAATCGGATTCGGAAATGGCCATTAATGAGCAAAAAGATTCAACAAATTGAAATTATGAGAATTTTCTTCTACTTTTAGAAATATTTACTATCCCAGTTAACCGCACCTTGAATTATTCGTATTAGTCGTATACCTTCTGAGAAGATGATTTTCAAAAGAAAAAATCACTTCTATCGTCTTCTTTTTTCGCTAATTTTTTAAGAAACTTTTACTCGATATTGCTTAGATAAGAAAACTAGATGACCCATCTTAGCTTCTTATTATGCTTTATGCAACTTGCACTGTCGAATACATTAAGTTTGTTGGTAAGTCTGCAATGCTAATAAGTAGTTGGGATGGACTCACTTTTCGTTATATCGATTGACTTAATCATATTTATTTGTTTGTCTTATGTCTATGCGTATGTATGTATTTGTTTTCTTAACTTACAATAACACGTTCGAATCAAGAACTCGAATTTCTGAAACCCATACAATCAATTCATTTTTACGATGATTTCGTCTATGGCGTTGTGTTATGGGAGGTTCATTATCTAAAAATAATTATACATTTTTATTATTATTTCTCGATAAAACGCGATGAAAACTCGTATTTCCTCATAAATAAATAAAAGAAAGTGAAGGAAATGAATATGAAGTGGACTTCTGCCAGATAAACAAACGGAACAATCAAAATCTAATTTACTTTAACTTATAATGAAAATCGGTTTAAAATAATGTTATAAAGTTATATAATAATGTTATAAAGTTATATCTCGATCAGATAGATCTAGTTTTCGGACTCTTTCCGCATAATGGTTCCTATGAAGAAGAAGTCTTCATATGATAACAAAAAATTTAGTTTTTAATTAATGGTGAATAACAAAGTCTTTGGCAATGCAATCAAGTTTAATAAACTTGGATTTACGTCGGTTTATCTATTTACCATAAGAATACTCAAAGCAGCAAAGTCTATTGTTTAAGATTTTATGACAAAGATAGAGATGAAATATTGTATTAAACGAACTTGCACAGGACCTTATCCGTCTTTAATATTTCGAGTGGTTTTTATTTACCGATTTAATATATAAATGAATAATGTGTGTGTGTGCGTGTGTGTGTGGCGTTCATAAGATATAAAATATTTATTTATTTAGTTTTTTTCCCGTTTATATTTATAGCAATTATCTTATTGTCTTTTAAGAATTTGTGTTAGTTACTCGCTTGCATGCATATATATCTATCTGGCTGTAATATAGGAAATGATGCATCACTGATGATTTCTAAGACGAAGGGAAATAGCTTTTATGTATTTGATAAAAGTTTACGACATAATAAAATAATACATTTATAGTGACATTCGCTCTTATCGTAAAAGGTAAGAAAAACATTTGTTTACATTTGCTAACAATTTTAAAGTCAGATCAAATTCAATTTAAATAGGAGAGAGACTTTTTTTTTTTAAAAATATTATAAAAAAAAAGTATTAAGCTTTCAAGTATTTTTCTTATTTTATTTAAGATTGACTTCTATATGCTGCATGTTTCACTAACTGCAGATAACAACAACTTTGTTTGTTATTATTCTTCATAGATTTTTCAAACTTCGATACGGGTAGAGAGAGAGAGGCAATATTTAAGTTATCTATTTTTTCAAAAAAGGCTCAGGTTTAGGAAAAAGGACCTAATAATAATTTGTGTGAATGGTTCCGTGTTGTTGCCCGTTCGAATCATTAATTTGCATAATGTTGAAGTTGAAACGCCATGAAATTTTTACTCATTTCATATGTAAGTTCGTGCTATCTAAAAATTATACGGCTTGGATGCTATCGATATTGGCGATATCTAAATGTCGTTTGCAACGCACAAAATTCAAATTTTTCCATTCTTATGTAGTAACGTAACTAAAACAACTGTAGCTTGTAAACTAATGGTCAATATGTCCTGCAATTCCCTTGACAATTGGTAATATTTACAAATCATATGAATTCGTCCGTAATCATCATTCTTCATCATCTGTGGATCGTCTTACGTACGTGTTGAGTGATAGAGATGTATGACCAAATAATCATCCAATACATACATACATCTATTTATAAATATTTAATAAATCTAATATCGCTTCTATGATTGGTTTGACGTTTATATCAATTTTACTAGGAATAGGATCGAAATTGAATCGATCATGTCGATCGATCCTTGAATTACATTTGTTTTAAGTAGATAGTCATTCATGTTCGTAAAGGCCTTAGATGAAATAATTGAAAGGCTAAAGGCATTTTAAAAAATTCCAACATATTCTCCCCAATCTAGATGAAAGCTCATTGCAATAGCTTGATAAAAATATTGCATTAAGTGATAATTGGAAAAAATTGGTACAGATTGATATATCGATATGAAATAATCGGAACAAATCTTGAAAACATTTTAACTTATATGTGTATTTATATGTGCGTTCTTTTCGCTTTGTATCGAAGGCTTTAGTGTATGGTGGGTTTCGTTTCGTATATCCTATGAATTATTGCGTTGAAATACTTTGAAAATATTATCATTTCCAGAAAATCTTAAAATGTGCTCTCAAATTCATTTCCTACAAGGATTTATGTTGTTGTTATTATCTTAATATTGCCAAAGTGCTGACAGGTAACTAAGAAGTATCCTTGTCTTTGGTAAGATAACAATATTTTGTAAAAAGATTCAAATCATTCTCGTATTTTTGTTTAACAACGTAACTAGGTACGAGATGCTGTTCAAATATTCCTTTTATTTAAGATACAAACAACTTGAGAGATATGTAAAGAAAGTATAGAATTTCCTGAGAATTGTTATACATGTAATAGTGTCTAGTATGTTTTATACGAGTCATAAACTCTCCGTTTACCTTTATTTTAAAGTTGTTAGCACTTGTTCTCTTCAAAAGAAAACCAGGAAATTCAAAGACTTAATGAAGGGATTTGTACACAAGTTAGTTTGTTAGAACAAAAAAAAAAAAAAAAAAAAAA